AGCCTGCGTGCCTGCGAGGGGGCGGCCGCTTGGGGCACAGGCGGGCGCAAGCCGGCCAGCGCTCACGTGGTGAAGGGCATCCACTGTCGTACAGGCGGAGCGGCAGGAGCAGCAGCAAAGCAGGAGACGCCCCCGCCCCCGCCCCGCCACCCGCCGCCCCTCTCCCCGCGCCCCTCTCCGCGCCCGTAGCGTCCCCTGGGTGCCCGTGGACCCGCGCCTCCTTCCCCGCGCCCCTCGGTCCCCGCGCCCCCTCTGCCCGCGCCCCTTCCCCCTCCGCGCCCCCCCTCCCCCGCGCCGCCCCTCTCCTCCGCGCGCGGCCGCTGCTCCGCGCCCCTCTCCGAGCCACGCCGCCCCGCGGCGCGCAGGCTCCACCGGCCCGCCGCGGCCTGCGGCGCCGGCGGGCGGGCGCCGCCCCCCGCCGGGGCGCCGCCCGGCGCGCCCGCGCCCTCGGCGCCGGCGGGCGGGCGCCGCTGGCCGGGCGCGGCTCAGCGCGGGGGGCGTCGCTGACTTCGGCGGCGCGGACGCCGTCGTTGCCGGGCGTTTTTGGCTGCCGGACGCTCGGTCCTCCTCGGCTCTCCGGCCTCGGGATGCCTTCCGAGAAACCCTCCGCCTCTCCCCCTGCCCCCCCTCGAAGCGCCGCCGATGAATGGAGGCGCGGACGTTGCCGTCGCCGGACGTTCTCGTTGGTCCTCCGCGGCTTGCCAGCCTCGGAATGCCTTCCAGTGGCTGCGCCTCAACGAGGGCGGTCTGGGGCTTTCCTGGTCGTCCCGAGCGGAGCGGCCGCCAGAGGCCCCAGCAGTGGTCCGAAAACCGCCCAGGGACTGGCACCGGGGGGGGGAGCATCGACCTGGGATCGGCGATCCGTCGCCGACAGATCGGCGATGGGCCCCCAATAGCAAAACCCCGCGTTCCTGGGCGGGGTGGGCTATCGGGCCCCTCATCGGCGATCATTCGGCGATTGGGGGTCGATGCATCGCCCCCGGAGCACACCTCCTCCCATCGTTGCCGTTGCTCAGTGGGGGGCCGAAGAACCCAAACCACCTCGAGTCATGCATAAACGACGACGGACAATTTCTCGCTATCTTTTGCGTCCGGGGGTCCTTGCCGAGGCCTCGGGGCCGCCAAGAAAGCAACTCAGGATGAAAAGCCGGTCCCAGGGAATGGGTCGAGACCGCTGTGGGTCGACGTTATGAGCAAAGCGTGGTGTCGGGGGTCTGGGAAGATACTTTTCGTGCACCACGTTGGGCGCCAGGGGGCCCCTTGAGGGTCCCGAAGGTGCCCGAGAGATGCACGCCTCTTCACCCCCGCACGCCCCCCGCCCCCACACATGAGCGACGAAAAGAAACGGGTCTCACGCGAGATGCCTCGGCGACCTGCCCTGACGCGGCGGCCCACGCGGGCCGCCGGCGCGGCACGCTACAGTGGGAAACGGGCGCGCTCACGCGCGACCCTGTTCGGGCAGCTTGCGCGCCAGCGCCGGCGAAGACGACCCCGCGTTTTGCGTTGACCCCCCCCCCCACACAGGCGTGGATCGCCCCGCGCGTGGACCCCCCCCCCACCCACACGCGTTTCGCGTTGCCCCCCCCCCGCCCCCCCACACGTTTGGATCGCCCCCCTCGCTGCGCAACGCCCGAGCTTGGCGTCAGGCGGGGGCCGCAGGGCCTCCTCCATGGCCCGGGCGCGGCCGCAGGGAGCACGGCCAGGCCCATAGAGCGCCAGGGAGGGAAAGGGAGGAGGAGGAGGAGGAGGACCGATCGCGAAGCGAGGTGACATCACCGAAACACACCAGCACGAGCATCTGGCTCGGCTCTGGTTCGAGCCACTTGCTTATTCTTCGGCGACCTGCCCTTCGATATTCTGCTGATATAGCTGAGCCGTGCGGGCGTGGTGGAAGACTGACACTCTTGGGTCAAACCTCTCACCTGAACATTCCCGTATCACCCGTACGGGGATAGAAACACAGCCAGGTCAGGCACTCTCGCACGCTCCCGCCGACGCATCTGCTCCGCGATCTGCGCCAGGAATGCCTCCGCCCAAGCCTTCAAGAGACCTGGCCGGGGCCGTGGCCGGGGTGCGACCCAGAACCTTCACTCCAATGCCCACTTGTGCTCCCCGGGCCCGAGGGGGCAGGCGGAGAGAGGAAGATGGCGAGAGGGAGGGGGAAACGAGAGAGAGGGAGAGAGATCAAAGAGAGATTACCAGAAAAGGGAGAGTGACAGGGGAGGCAGGTGGCGGCGGGCCAGAAGCTGCAGACGGCAGTCTCTGCGGCGAAGGGGGGGTACCTTCGGCCAAGAGACTGCAAACCCACACACAGGCACGCGACCCAGGCACGCGCCTCCCTCTCCCTCCCCTCCTCCTCCTCCTCCTCCTCCTCCTCCTCCTCCTCCTCCTCCTCCTCCTCCTCCTCCTCCTCCCTCTCCTCCTCCTCCTCCTCCTCCTCCTCCTCCTCCTCCTACTCCTCCTCCTCCTCGTCATCGTCGTCCTCGTCTTCTTGTCGTCGTCGTCCTTTTCCTCCTCCTCCTCCTCCTTCTCCTCCTCCTCCTCCTCCTCCTCCTCTCAAGAGGAGGAAACATGAGGATGAGGGAAGATATAGACGGGATGATGAAAGAGCAAGGAGGCGAGAGGAGCAAGAGGAGACGCAGCAGGGAAGAAAGAGGGAGGAGGGACGAGGAAGAACAGATGATGATGATGATGATGATGATGATGATGATGATGATGATGATGATGATGATGATGATGATGATGATGATGATGATGATGATGATGATGATGATGATGACGAGGAGGAGGAGGAGGAGGAGGAGCGAGGACAGATGAGGAGGAGGAGAACAGACAAGGAAGGGCAGACGAGGACGAGGACGAGGACGAGGAGGAGGAGGAGGAGAAATGTGAGGTGGGAGTACATGAAGAACCACCTGCGCCCAATGTGGTCCCAATGTGCCCATGACCGCGCTTCACGCCGCATCAGAGGCAGCGCTTCCACCAACCCGGCCTCTGCTTCCAACCGAGATCGGTATGATCATGCTCTCCTCGTTCTCCTCCTGCTTACTCTGCTGCTTCTCCTGCTCCTCCTCTTCCACCACCCTTTCGTCTTCGTTGTTCTCCTCCCTCCCCTTCTACTCCCGCGCCCACCTCTACTCGTTCAGCTCCCTCTCCGTCTCCTCCTGCGTGCACATACTCCTCTGCTTCCTTCCGCTCCTCCTCCTCCTCCTCCTCCTCCCCCTTCTCCTCCTCTTCCTCCTTTCTCCTCCTCCTCCTCCCCCTTCTCCTCCTCTTCTCTTCGAACCTTCCGCCTATACTATTATGGTCATTTGATATTGTTATCCTCCTCCCCCTTCTGAGACCTGACGTTGCGAACAACAAGTCCAATATCGCCAACAATCACGGCCAGAGCCCTGGACCCTGACTCCCTGCGGCATCTCTCGAGCCGGATCGATCCGTGAGGGGCCTGGGGCCCGGCCCGACACCCAGCGGAAACGCCCGGCGTGAAAAACTGCAACACCTGGATCTCAGGGCCCCCTCCCGCTTCACCCCCACCCCTGGGTGTCGCCCGGCCCTGACTCCAGATCCGCCGTGCTTTTCAGGCTCATTTGGGGCCGATCTCTGCCATACTTGGCCGCCGCTGTTTCCGCCGTATTGAGCGCTTCGGCGGAAATATCCACCCTAATTTTCTGAGGCGAAAAGGTCCACTCCATTTTTTCGCCTCTTTTCGGCCGCGTTCCCGACACATTTTCTCAAGTTGGAGGATCGGCCGAAATACGCCAATTCCGGAGTCAGGGCTCCCTGCCAGGGTGCAAGCTGAACTGTGCTTCCCGTTCCCGGGTTGATGCCGTCTTTTCCCTCGTTCTGCCTGCGCTCCGCCTTTGCTGCAACACGAGAGCAGCACGAAAAAACGCCGACGTCGACGCGGCGCCGACGTTGGCGCGGCGACGACGGAAACAGCAGCACGGAAACGCCGACGTCGGCGCCGCGCCAACGTCGGCGTTGCTCCGTGCGGCCCTCGTTGCGCAGCACAGGCGGAGCGAAGGCAGAACGAGGGAAAAGACGGCACCAGCAGCTGCGCGGCGCTGCACAGCTGGAGCAGCACGAAAACACGCCGACGTCGGCGCGGCGCCGACGCCGCCGGCGTGAGCCCGCTTCGTGCAGACCCGCCGGCAGCCCGCGCCCACGAGCCACCGTGGGGCACGCCGCGCAACCCCTGAGGGCGAGGGGGGGCAGCGGGGAGCGAGGGAGCAGAGCGACAACGGCCCACGAAGTCGCCAGACGCCGAGCAGCTCGCCAAAACTAGGGGCCTCCCAGATGGGCTCCGACTGGATGGGGTCGGAGGATCGCGCCGCATCGCCGATGCATCGACGACGTCGGCGTGGAGAAGATCGGGCTCCAGATCGAGCCGCATCGGCGAGACACCCGCGATGCATCGGCGATGCAGCGCGGTCCTCCGACCCCCTGCCGCTCCGACCCCACCTGGGAGGCCCGGGGCTTCTCGACCAGGCCCCTCAGCTGCTGCAGCTCGCGCCTCCCGCGCGCGACCCCAGCTGGGAGGCCTGGAGTCTGGCTCGCCAGGGCCGGGCCGCGAGCCGGGAGGCCCGGCCGGGAGGTCAGGAGCCGGCCCCAGCTGGGAGGCCTGGCGGCCAGGACCCCGTCCGGGAGGCCTGGAGTCTAGCTCGCCGGGGCTTCCCCCGCCGAGAGAGGGCCGCGCCAGGGGGGGATCTCGCTCCGCGTCGTGTGCTGCAGCGCGAGAGCAGCACGATAACGGCCCACGAAACCGCCCGAAAGCCGCTGGGCTCCCGGCCTGCTCCCCCCCCGCCCCCGACCGGGAGTTGCCAAAGGTGCCCCTGGCCCACCAAGGCGCGCCCAGCTTCGAGCGCCCTGGGCCTCGTGAGGGGTGCTTTGGAGGCCGTGGGGGCCTCCTTGGAAATGTTGGGGGGGCGACTCGGGCCAGGGGCACTTCTGGCGGCACCCGACCCGAAGGCGCGCAGCGCCGGGATGGATCTCCCCGCCTGCTCCCGCGCGGGAGACAGCGCCGCGCGGCCGGCGTCGAGGCTCGAGATGAGCGCGTCCCGCGCCTCGCCGCCGGGGAAGGCTGGGCGGGCGAGAAAGGGAGGGGAGGGCCGCGGAGGTGCGAGAGAGGAAGGGGAGGGCCGCGGAGGGGCAGAGGAGGAGGGAGAAAGAGTGGCGGAGGGGCGGGGGAGGAGGGAGAAAGGGCGGCGGAGGGGAGGGGGAGGAAGGAGGGAGGGCCGCGGAGGGGCGGGCGCGGGGGCGAGAGGAAAGGCTCGGAGGCGCGGGGAGGAGAGAGGGAGGGAGGGCTCGGAGGGGCGGGGAGGGAAAGCTATGGAATGCTGTGCAAAACGGACCTCCGTTCGTACACTCACTCGTCCTACATGTTTGTTAACGGGCTTTCTTAGAGAGCTCTAGGTGCAGGCCGTGTGTGGCGCTCGGGGCCTCGTGGCCCTGAGCGCTTGAACCTCCCCCCCTCGGGCCTGAGAGACTGGAGGGGGTGGGGCAGCATGCATAGCAGGTGCAGAATAGATGTCCATAACGTATTGGCTCTAGTTTCAACGAGCAGCAGCCCTCTCGCGCCTCCCTTTGAGCGCGCGCGGGATTGCAGCCACGACGCGCCTTTCCTGGTTCGCCGCGTGCGTGCTCGGCACCGCTCTGGTGCAAGAGGACGCTTTCGAGGATCTGCTGGATTACGCTTCGGGCGGGTTCGGCAGCGTTCTGTCAGGCTCCCCGCTGCTGCTGGGAGACGGCGAGGCCGAGCCTGAGTCGCCCTTCGACGAGCCCAGCGTCGACGCCGAGGACGTCGACCCGTGCGAGGACGAGCCTGAGGGGCAGCCTATGCCCTTCCAGCGATGGAACAGGATCTACTACCGCCCGAGGGCGGACTCCAACCAGGGTCTCACGATGCTCCTGGTCAGCAAGTTCAGCTCCACGCTGGGCGAGAAGAGATGGGTCTGCATCGACCCGACGGGCAGGCTCCAGGTCCTAGACCTCGGCCAGCCTGCGAAGGTGAAGTCAACGAAGTTCGCGGGCGTGAACCACGGCACATTCCAGGGCCTCTCCGCGACGGAGAAGCAGAAGGCCATCGAGGCGGCCGACCGCATCATCGCCACGGGGCCCGTATCGACGACAGGCAAGATCACCGGGGACCACCATCCTCGAGGTGGAGGCGCCGCGGGACGCAGGTCCCACCGCCGCCACGCGGTGTCGTGGCTACTGAAGCTGGTCTCCAACATCGCGGGCTACGCTTGGGCCCGCCGGAGCTCGGGCACGGCTGCGGGTTCGACGTTCGTGCTGTGGCGCGCAGTCGTCGACCTCAACGTGGTGGAGTGGGTGAAGTGGGGCTACTCGTCGCTGAAGGAGACCGTGGACACGGTGGAGTATTTCAGGGAGGAGATCGAGACGGTGTTCGAGATGCACGAGTCAGGAGCTCTCGAGCCTCTCTACTTCTCAGTGGCCGTGATGCTCGTGAGTGGCTTCCTCATGTCGTGCTGCAGGTCCTCGCGCCCCTCGCCTGCGCCATCGCCCACAACGTCCTCTGGTGCCGCAGCTCCCGCGCTTCTTGGTTGGAGCTGGCCATCATGGTCGGCCACGCCGTCTCCAAGCCAGTCGGGATCATCGACTCCCAGGGACGAAGGCACTCAGGTGTCAGACGCCGAGGATTCGGACTCGGTGGGAGGCGAAGTTCTGAGGCAGATGGGTTTGGTGGCCGAGGGGCTCTCCGCTCTCGAGGAGAGGCAGGCGTCGCGGCCGACGGAGCCTCCTCAGCCAACTCCAGCGCCTTCAGCACCTCAAGCCCCAGCGAAGCCTGGGATCGGCGCGGACAGCTACGACCAGATGATGGGGGCCCTCCTTCAGAGGCTGGACCGCCACAAGGAGATGGTGGAGCAAGACAGCATGGCCGTGACCGCCAGCGGGTCCGAGCCGCGGGTGGTCAGCTCCACGTCCAACCCAGAGATCGACTCGCTAGTCAAGGGCCTGGACGACTCCTTCAAGGACACGCGCGAGGTCGCCAAGGAGAAGCTGCAGGCCTACTCCAGCGACGTGGCGTGGACGATCCCGGGGGGCATCAAGACGCGAGTGGCCCCGTCAATGGTGGCTCGCCTGTACCGCAGTGGGGCTTCAGCGGTGGCGAGCATCAGGGAGATGATTCGCACGAAGCAGCTGGACGGCAACCACATGGCGGAGGAGGCCCTCCTCATCAGCATGATGCTCGGCCGATCCATGGTGGAGGTGCCCGCGGACTGGATCAACTACAAGACGACGGAGTTGGCGATGCGGCGCCTCCACGGCATCGAGAGGGCCTTCGAGAACGTCAAGCAGAGGTCGGACTGGAAGCCGCCCAACGGCTCGAAGGCGGGCTGGAAGTCTCGCGTCAACTACGCCCTGCTGGAGGAGCTCGACACGACCAAGTCGGATCAGGAGGGCCTTCTCATCGACGGCGTGGAAAAGGAGCTTCGCGAACGCTTGGCTCATCGCGCCCTTCTCGCCAAGTCCCTCGACAAGCTGCAGGACAAGAAGCACTCAACAAGCAAGGACGACTGACAGCTGGGAGGTGCTCACGATTCAGGCGCTTCGCGAAGCGCATTCTCCTGGCAGCCATCGTCTTGGAGGCTGCCCACATCTACCACAACGTGCACAGCGTTATTTTCCTAATTTCTCATCACGATGAGAGCGGAGGTCGAATTCTCATCAGAGGGTCGAGTGCGCGACCCCTTGGAGGTGCTGCCGCTCCTGCCAGCGCCGTCTTCCCCTTCGTCTCCTTCGGGGCGGTCGAGGTCTCGCTTCGCCCAGGAGCGAGCAATCAGGGTCAGGACGAACGCCGCTCTGAGGTCCTTAGCCGCGCTGACGACGAACTCATACCACGACCTGCGGGACTCCAGTTTCGGATCCTCCATGGAGTGGGGCACGAGCCACGAGCTGCCGCGCAGGATTTCCGAGAGGGTGCTGCAGTGCCACCGGGACGCGCACGATCAGAAGATGTACGACTCCGGCGCCGAGTCCGCTTTCGAGCGGCTGGCCTTGCATGCCAAGCCTGGGACCTACGCGGGCTTCAGTGTATCAGACAAGGACGGCGACGACGTGCCGCAACGAGGGAAGGTCATGCCCTTCGTGAGCGGCGAAGCGTCTCTGCCTCCAGCGGGGACGCAGCCATGCGACATAAGGATGATTTCACCAAAAGCGAGATATTACTTCGACAGATTCCACGAGAGGATGCGCCTGCCGCCCAGCCAGGTCGACGAGGCCGACATCGAGAAGACGAGAGCCTACATGGACCCCAGTTTGAGGAGCAGGTCAGCTCGCCTCCAGTTCGCGCTGAGACTATGGGAGTCAGGCATGCTCGGTTTCACGGACATCTGCAGGGCGGAGGTCTCGGTCTTCTTCGTCATGAAGAAGGTCAACGAGGCAGGCCAGTTCATTATCCGGCCCGTCTGGGACCTGAGGCAGGTGAACAAGCGCTTTCAGAAGCCACCTCACCTCTCTCTGGGGTCCCCGATGGCGATGGCGGAGCTGGACCTATCCGACGAGATCACAGAGGGCAGGGTCTCGCAGTCAACGTGGGGAGACGTGCCAGATTACTTTCACAGATGCAAGAGCTGCAGCGAGCTGTGGCCGTACATGGTGTTCGGAGGCGCGACGATCCCCCAGCTTTTGAAGGAGCTCAAGCGCCAGGGCAAAGGGGTGCCGACGGTCCCGAAGGGGGCCCGCTACCTGTGCCTGGTGGTGATGCTGATGGGCTTCAGCTGGTCACCAGCGATCTGTCATGGTGCTCTGGAGGACCTTCTGCGCGATCTACCCGGCTTCCCGCGGGGAGCTCAGCTGGTCAACGGGCGTGTCCCCCCCCAGCTTCTCCGAGACGGCCTTCATCTACTGGGTGTTCATGGGCGACTTCGCCTCGATGACCTTGCAGCAGGACGAGATGAGCGAGGTGACGGAAGCAGTGCGCGAACACGCTGGGAAGAAGCTCAAGGAGGCGGGCCTCGACATGCACAAAGACGGAGTCGGGGCAGCGATGCCCCTTTCTCTGGGCGTGACGATCACTCAGCGCCCTCATCGCTTGATGGCAGCACAGGAGAAGGTCAAGAATGTCATTGGTGCGACCAAGGCCCTTCTGGACCGAGGTCGAGCGACTCCAACCGAGCTATCAAGGATAATTGGGTCGTGGGTGTGGTTAGCGATGTGCTGTCGGGCCGCTTTCTGCATGCTGGACGCTTGCTACAAGTTCGTGACAAAGTACGGCGACGACGATCAGGTTCACATCCTGTGGGAGAGCGTGACAAACGAGCTGTACATGCTTTACCACATGGCCCCCCTGATGTATACCCACTTGGAGTCGAGGTGGAGCCCCAGTGTCTTTGCTACGGATGCGAGCGAGGAGGGCCTAGGGGTAGTCGAGACGACAGCGAGCCGGGAAGAAGTCCGAGCCGAAGTCAACCGACAGTGGAGAGCCGACCATCTTCGAGACATGGCCAGGGACGAGGAGGAGGAGGAGCTGCTCAGTGGCGAGAACCTCGAGCGAGCCAGACGAGGCATCCCCCCCGTGGTGTCCGATGGCGAGGTCCCTCCGATGAAGTTCATGGCCGACATTTTCTCGGGGTGCGGCGGCTTCGGGCAGGCGATCCGCGAGGAATTGCAGTGCCAGACCCTGTTCGTGGACAACGCACGGGAGGCGCGCCACGACCTGCTGGACCCGTCCTTCGTCGAGCTTGTCTGTCGCGCCGTTCTTCGGGCCCTCTTCTTCATGGTCCACTTGGCCCCTCCATGCTCCACGTTCTCGCGAGCACGTCGACCTCCCTTGCGAGCTCCAGGCCGTTGGATTCGCGGTCTCCCGGGTCTTTCCCCTCAGCAGGTTCAGAGGGTACGGGAAGGCAACGCCCTGGCCCAGGCAGCGATCTCGATTTGCTATGCGTGCCTGGCATCAGGGACAGGCTTTTCACTGGAGAACCCCAGGACCTCGATGATCTGGGACCTCCCCGACATGGCGAAGTTGCTGACGATGGATGGAGTTCTCGTAGTGGAGATGGTGCACTGTTCCTTCGGAGCCCGATGGAAGAAGCCAGCTCGGATAGTGACCAACGTGCAGGCGCTGAAGGAGCTCGAATGCAAGTGCTCTCAGGATCACGATCATCAGGAGCTGCGGGGACGCGACTCTCAAGGACGACTCTGGACGCGCCTGGCAGCAGTCTACCCGCCACGCCTGTGCAAGGCTTACGCCTCGTGTGTGGCCAAGGCCGTGTCCAACAACGAGCTGAAGCTGCACGGCTGGCGCATGCGAGAAGTCCGAGGCGCATCGCCGAAGCCAGTCGCAGTCATGAGTCACTGGGCCAAAATATCCCGATGGCATCTAGCGTGGAAAGGGGTATGGGCGTATCACGATCACATCAGTGTGCAGGAAATGAGGACGGTCGCATCGGTATCTCGTCACCTGTGTCGCTCGTCAAAGAACTGGTTCAGCCGAGTCTTGGTCCTGTGCGACTCTATGGTGACGGTGGGCGCAGTCAGAAAGATGCGGAGCTCTTCGCGACCTTTGATGACGCAGCTGAAGAAGATCGGCGCGATCACGCTGGCCACCGGTATCCGATTGACGCTGAGGTGGATACCCACAGACATGAACCCGGCCGACGGCCCGTCGAGAGGCGAGGAGATAGGCAGCGCCGAGATCACCAAGACCAAGTCCGAGCAGAAGAAGAGCGTGATGGACAGCGACTTCGAGTTCGAGAGGCTCTTCGGGGACATGCTGGAGATCAGGGGCATGCACGACGACTACGACCTGGCCTGGCATTTATGACGACGATCCTGATCCTAGCCTCGGCTCCAGAGATCACAGCCACAGCAGCGGCAGACACGGAGCTCAACGACCAGGACGAGAGCTTCCAGGCTGACGGCGACCACACCTTCGACAATGAAGATGGGCAGGCTGTTGATGACATAGGAATGTTCGCAGGAGCTCTCGAAGCAGCGGTGACAGTCAAAAAGACGGCCAAAAAGAAAGGCAAGCAACGAGCTCACGTTCCTCAGAACAAGAAGGGCCCCCTCGCCTTCGATAATGCTGCTCGGGAGCCCCCAGTGTCGAGAACCAGCCTGGGCTCTGGCACGCTGGAAGTACCTCTGCGGCTTCTCGTTCACGCAGTTCAGGACAACACTAACGCGTGCTACATCAAGGAGGTGGAGCCCTTTCTCGTGAGGGTGCGTCTCAAGAGGCTTCCTTTTGCCACGGCGGCCGAGCGCGACATCACCCTTGCGGCGGAGTTAGACCACATGTGCTTCGTGGAGAGGGCTTCGGTGTCAAGAGGAGTTCGATTGCACCATGGGCTGGTCCACCTGTTTCCAGAGTGGAAGTCTGAGCTGCCGATCTCCTTGCGCGCTTTGCATAGCTGGGAAAAGTTCCAGGAGTCCTGGGAAGGTGGCCCAGCCTCTGCCGAAGCAATCTATTTCATGTCATCCCAGGCGATCAAATCAGGCCACGTAGACGAAGGGATAGCCTTTCTTGTAGCGTACAATTGTGATCTTCGAGAACAAGATTGGTTGCAGCTGAGGGGTGAAGACGTTCATGTTAGTGGCAAAACGTATTCCAATGATCTGTCAAGTGACGACACTCAGCATGCAGCTGGTGGGATCAAAGTGGCGCTACTTCTTGGACGGAGACACCGAGGTGAGAGCGTCAAGACAGGTCAAGAGCAAGGAGTGGCGATTGACAGCGGTCTTCTCTCACACATCTTGGCGGAGCGTGTCAAGCAGATCAAACCAACCGACTAGGTCTTCAATACCACAGCTGCCAAAACAACTTCAGTCTGGAGAGGCATCCAATCCAAGTTCGGACTTGAGTGGATTGGACCGGTGCATACGTTGAGACACAGCGGACCGAGTTACGATATCTTGCACAAGCGACGATCAATTCAAGAAGTTCAGAGACGCGGGCGGTGGACACAAGCCAAGTCGATGGCCAGGTATGCGAAGCCACATTCTCTTATTGTTCATGACGCACGGTTACCTGCAAATATTGAAGACGCGGGCCGTAGGGCCCTTCATGATCTGAGCTCGACGCTGAAGAGCATCCCCACTCAGAGCCCATGGCGATCTGCAGCATCGCGGGGCTTGACGTACATCGCAGGATCTGACGCTGGCCAGGCCATGGAGCCCGTGGACCCGGCAGCCTGAGACGCGGCGGCGTGCCAAGCACTGTGGCCTCCCGCCTTGAGCCAAATTGTCCCCTCCCCCTTCTCCTCACTCCTTATATATCAGTGCTGACGCACCCACCCCCCCAGTCCCAGACTTTAAGTGAGAACCCGAGGTTGCGGGGTGAGGGGCGTTTTTTCTTGGGCCTGTGCCTCTCGTGGCTGCTTGGGCCCAGGCTCTCGCCGACAGCGGCGAGCGAAACCTTCCGATCGGTGTGCTGCGCGAGCCGAGGTAGTGTGAAAAAGGATCCCGTCTGGCCATCTTGGAGCTCGTTCTCAGAATACATGTTTGTTAACGGGCTTTCTTAGAGAGCTCTAGGTGCAGGCCGTGTGTGGCGCTCGGGGCCTCGTGGCCCTGAGCGCTTGAACCTCCCCCCCCTCGGGCCTGAGAGACTGGGGGGGGGGGGGGGCAGCATGCGTAGCAGGTGCAGAATAGATGTCCATAACGTATTGGCTCTAGTTTCCCATCCCAACCCTCCCTTTTTTGAGGGGGGCGTCTTTTCTTGGGCCTGTGCCTCTCGTGGCTGCTTGGGCCCAGGCTCTCGCCGACAGCGGCGAGCGAAACCTTCCGATCGGTGTGCTGCGCGAGCCGAGGGTAGTGTGAAAAAGGACCCCGTCTGGCCATCTTGGAGCTCGTTCTCAGAAGACCTGTTTATTCTCATCTGGGGTTCATCGGATGCGTCTGAATCAAAATGCTCCTCGCGGCGGCCTGGCGGCCCAGCGGGGGAGGGGGGAAGTGGGGCTCGGAAGGGCGAGAGCAGGGTAGGCTCGGAATGGAAGGGAGGAGCACGTAGAGCATGACATTTGGGATGGACGGGCTGCGCAAGCGCTATCCCAGGGCGCCCCGTCCGAAAGCTTGCAATCAGTGAACGCACGCATGCCAACCAGAGAAGGGGCAACATGACGACGAGGCGCCGGACTTTTCTGGGTTGCATCTTTCCGACGCTTCTCACCGGCCTTGCTGGTATTTTGCTGGCGCTGTAGAACTGCTGCGTCGAGGCCAACGACTTTTCTTCCTGTGGCAAGAAACCGTATTCCGCAGCCTCCAAGTAATCCTGTGCATATTTTTTGTAATCGAAATCTTTCTCACTGGCGTGCTTGGCTGTCCACGCTGCGCGCGATCCTGCTTGCGGCGTATCTGCCCGAGTCGTTGCGCCCCCGATAAAATTTGACACGTCTCCCCGCCTGCGATTTGCGAAAGCTCGTGCAGCGTTTCCAGCTGTAAGCGGCGTTTCTTGCGTTCAGCTGAAGCACGTGGACTGGCGAACCACGTTGACCAAAGCCGTTTGGCGCTTTTGGTTATTTATGGCCACTCTTGCCTGTCCTTCACACTCAGAATTTCCATCTCATCTGGAATGTCATCGTGTAAGAGTGAGCCCCGTCGTGACCCAATGGCCATATCAGCCAGCGAGCACGGCCGCTCTGCTCCAGCACTGGACGCGCGCCAAGCCGCATATCGGAGAAGGGCGGCTCTCCGGAGTGATGGTTGTCGCCCACGCCTGTCCGAAGTGGTGGGCGCCGTCCAAGCTTCCAAATTGCTGCGAGCATGTCGGCCTAATACTCGCGGGCGCATGTGAGATACTGAGCGTATTCAATCCACAACTGGCCAACATCCAGCTTCAAGACTTGCGCCGAACGCCCGGGGCCTTTATGCGCTGCTCCGCCATCATCCAAGAGTAAACGAAAGCCGTCAACTGATAGATGTTTCATGTGTCCCAGTTCAAACCCGATAAAGCTTTGGATAATTTCAAACTCTGGAAACTCCGCCCGTGCTATGGATTTGGTTTCCAAGACCCAAGCTTGCATATGGCCAAGTGCGTTTTGTACAGTTTCTGCTGTCGCCCCAACCCTAGGTGCACCAATCTGCTGTGGCTGTCCATCGATAACGAAAACGCGCCGACCACCATCGGCGAGACATTTCAACATCACCTTAGTATAACGACTATTGGCACAGATGCCGTTGAAGTAAAGTGCACGCAATCGGCCCAAATAATCGCGCACCCACCCTGCGAGTTTAGCTGGATCAGAATCTTCTGAATCTAACCGTTGAACAAGGAAATGAGTTTCGCCCCCAGCATCTGCCATCATAGACAAGATAAGCGCTGATTGAGCCCAATGACCTTCCTCTCTGCCGCGCCGCCCCCGCATGGCGCGGACCGCTGTCCTCGCCGGAAGCCAGAACTCTAAAACTGCTTCCCCGAAAAGCTTCTGGTGACTCTCGAACCGATGTTTAGCTGATCTCAAATCTACGCGGCCTTCAGGGTGAGATAGCTGAATCTCTGCTCCACCAGCTGTTTCAGACGCCTTGACCAATCCACTGAAAACTGCTCTGAATGGCAAACGGTTCCGGATCATCTGTACTGGCGAGCGCCTGTTGAGCATGAAGCGTTGGGCGACTTCACGCAGCGCGTCATCGCGCGCCCATCCGCGGCTCGTCAGGCGCCTGCACGCGTAAGCCTTGTCTTTCAACACGAAAACCAGGTGTGGTAATAATTCACCGTCGACACCTATGCCCCAAACATTTCTGCTCTGTAACATCGCCCTGCAAGTTGCTCATCAGCCGCCCCATCTGCGGTGAAAGATTCCAGGATCCACTGTAAATGTATGTGTAAGTCTGCGTTGCACTCCACTGTCGCCGTTTGCCTCGCGGTCTGCTCGTGCTTGCAGCCGTCTTGATCACTTGTAGGGCTGCGTCCGCCAGCGCGTCGGATGTTGTGCTATGGCCGGTAGAATGCAAATTGACAAGACCAAGAAAACCACTTCAAATCCGACGTTGCAGCGCGAAACCTAGCTCCGAGGTAATCTTTCCGCACATCTTGCATGAGCGTCATAGACGTTGCTTTGCGTAAGAAGTGATGCGTGTTGCGGCGACACGCTTCACCCAGACAATGTTTTCGATGCAGCACTTGCTTACGTTTGCCAACCCCTGGAATCCCATCATCGCCAGAGGCCCGTCCTTTGTGAACAGCTTCCATCACATCTGTGAAGGGCTGCGTCGAAGGTGCGAGACTGAGGTTGAGTGTCAGGCTTGTCTGACCACCCAGAGCTGCCGTATGACATTGATCTTTGCAATGCCGTTTCAGAATGCACGTTTGAGCCACGGCCGAGGAAGTGTGCGAGCATCGGCCCCATGTTGTCTTCATTTTTGCTCGCATGCACACTCTGCAACCAAATGTAAATTCGTTTTCACCACGTTGTTGGACAAGAAGCCATGTGTCTGATGTCTCATCATGTGGATCGCAGCGCAGCCATTGATTGTACCTGGCAGCCTGAGCACTTGCGCAAACCAACATGTGCGATCTGAACGTCTCCGGTAATTGTGATGGCAGTAATCTTGATCGAACGTGTTTGCGATTCACCCAAGTCATAAGCCCAAATGGCTACATAAAGCATGAAACCTAACACGGCACATGGTCACACATGTGGCGGCAAAGGTGACTTGGGGACGCGTGGGGTTCGGGCTCTGCTTCTTACTGCGCTGCCGCGCGAAGCAGCGCCCCCAGCAATGTGGCGTTTGCTTTTTTCCCTAACCAGCTTGTTTACTAGAGTCTCGTACATGTCACGGCCGCAAGAGGGGCCCAAGAGGACGATTGTCAACCGAAAGCCCGAGCCTTCCGCTGAGAAGGGCCCCCATGATGAGGCCCCTGCAGGCCTCCCAAGGGGCCCCAAGAGGCCACAAAAGAACCCCTTGAAGCCCAAATGATGAGGTTCCAATGGAACCATGAAGACCCATGAGGACCCATGAAGACCCACAGAAACATCAGCTATGGTTTCAACGGGCCTGACAGTCCCACCCCACTCCACACGATATCCTGACGCGTAAGAGGCCCCATACCCACAACCCAGGCACGGCGGTGGCAGGATGGGCCGAAGGCCGGCAAATAATGTACCGTCTTTCGATGGTATATAACATCGCATCGAGTAACATAGACAAGCGCGTGACACCATATGAGACCACCGTAAACAATGACGTGCCATGACCGTGTATCTCAAGCATAAACATGTATACCATTGTTCAACAATACAGCATGCTTGCACACATAAAGAATTGCACAGGTTTGACAAGATTTCGCGCCGAAGGCGCGCATGTGGCCCTGGCGGTATCATGTCATCAAGGCTCGCAGCGCTGGCCCACAACGCATGCACGGTGGCGGGATGTCCGAATGCCAACATTCCCGGTCAACATCACCTCCAGCGGCCGAGGCGCCGCAAGCTCGCCACGGCATCCCGCCAAAGGAGGCGTTTCGGCTCCAACGTGGCGACCAGGGTCCAGCCGTGACGACGAGGGAAGATGGCGAGGAGGAAGGACCCCTAGATCGACCCAAGGGAGTGGGCAGCCACGCGCCAACCGTGCAGTGCGCAGGGAGGATGAGGAGGGAATGAGGAGGAAGAGGAGTTGTTGCAACGGGTAACGCCGCAGAGTGCAACGTTCCTAAAGACTCCTTGTCGCCGCGCGCGGCGTCGGCAGCCATGCGGCGGCCAACAGAATGGCCTGCTGGCCCAGTGCAGCGGCGTTGTGCCACGACTTCCCCGATTTGCGGGAGATCATGGGCAACCATTGGACAGCCCAGGTGGAGGCGGCCCGCTGGGCCAGGGAGGCCCGCGCGGCGGCCCGCGCGGCGGAGGAGGCCACCGCCTCCGAGGAGGCCAGCGCGGCCGAGAAGACCAGCGCGGCCGAGGAGGCCCGTCGTGCGGCCAAGGCAGCTCCCGCCCAGGAGCGCCAGCTCGCATGGCACGGCGCGCGCGAGAAAACAGCGGCGGCCTCCGATGCGGCCGCGGCCGCGGTGGCAGAGCAGGCGGCCTACGCCGCTGAGGAAGCGGCGTACGCCGCGTATGACAGGAGGCGGTGTGGGACGCGGTGGAGGCGCCCGCGCTCGGTTGACAAAGCGCGGCGGGGTCTACGCTAAAAGAAGGGGGTGGGGAGCAGGATCAGTAAGAGGAGAGGAAGGAGGAGAGGGCGGACGAGGACAGAGAGGAGGAGGTGAGGAGGAGGAGGAGGAGGAGGAGGAGGAGGAAGAGGATGACAAACAGGAAAAAGGAAGGAGGAAAGGGACGAGGAGGAAGGATTTTGTGTTGGTTATTGTGCGCACGCAAACCACTGCCATCACACCCTAGTAGTTCGGCAATTGCCCAGTACCATCACTGCAACGACGAATGTCACCATATAATCACATACCTACTTGAAAACACAATTTGGGTGACATGTTGCTACCGCCATCACGACTTATTCTTAGCAGCACCTATCAGTAAGGAACCCGGGGAAGTCAGCGAAAGTTGATGGTGTACCTCAAAAACGTACCTTGAGCATGACGCCATGGGCGGATAGTCAAGCACGTAGTATACGGAAGCCGGATACAAGTAAGGCGTGGAGTCCGTCAAGGGGTCTGCTGCGCCCGCTGGACATTGCAAGTATGTTGCCGCTAAGGCTGCACAACAACCAGCTTTTTTTTCAACCACTCACCGCGCCGCTCACAAGCAACTGCACCCCACTGGGTGCATGGTATTGGACCCCCTGGCCCCCGCTAAGACAAAAATGCAAGACGGCAGCGAAACAAATGCGATCGGCTCTTCCTAAACATCTCAATCTCCATGGGGGGGAATAACAAAAAAGCCTAAGACCAGGCCAGACTGTCACCGTCATCGCC